AATGAAGTTTACGGTTCTCAGTTTCTCTTTCATATGTCCACACAAAGTCCAGGACTACATATTTTGTTCATAACTGTACATGATTTGCTGGGATGTGGACAGAGCACACACGGCCTGGGTTTCTCTCCTGCTATAGACTTGCGTTAAATTTTCCCTAGGCTGACCATACATTAATCCAGGGCTTGGCCAATTTTCTTTGAATCTAGGAGCCAGCTAAAAAGTTAGGAGGCAGTTTTTTCTTAGTGTAGCGTATGTTGTCAGCACTCGGGGCAAGGAAACCTTTGAGCGACAAGCTTCAAGCAACGCGATTTGCAGCGTGACGGCTAAACTGCACCATGTTTTAGTTGCCATTGAAATTAATGGCACCTGAATCTGGGTTTTGCTATTAGAGCGATTCTGCCGCTATCTCAAAAAACCCAGGTGTGAATGGAGCCTTCCTGGCTCACACCTATGAGATTCTGGATGAGTTTTCAAACTCACAGATTCACATGATAGGCTAGATATTATGTATTCTTTTTGAGGTCGTCCGCACAAATGTGATCCACACGCATTGTATTTTGAGTACCATTGCGAAAAGGGTCCTGTGCGAGTCCAGTGCGCTCCTGTACCTTTAAGGAGGGGGAACTCCCTCAGGTCCATCTGCCCTTGGTCTATCCTTTACATACATGTGCCTCTACTATGGGGGCTCTCAAAACTGTAGAGTTTGGAATTACAGAATGTCGGGGTGCCGTGGCGAGGCTCTGTAGCTTAACCTCGTCGGCGGTATGATTCTTTCCGATTTTTGGTGCTGAAAGCGGTACCATTTTTTTGCATGGAAATATGTAGTTTTTTATTGTAGGCTGTAATTTTTAGGAATAACTCACTGAAATCTGTCCGAACAAGAGTCTAGTAAACATTCCGGGTATGATAAAACTTGAAACACGAAATCATAAATTATAATTTAATAAATAATCATAAAAAATAATAATATAATAATAATACATTTAATGCAATAATATAATCAAACCAAAAACACTGAAATTTGAAATACAGAGGCAAATTCGCACATCGCTGAGCAAAGTCGCAGAATCGTTTTCAGTGTCTGATGATGAATTTCCCCACGAATCATCACTCAATTCTGCAAGTGGTTCTGATTTACTATCGCTGTTCTCTAGCCGGTCTAAAACTGCTTTTGACATAAAGGGACGCTTTTTGGACGCCATGGACTTTAAGTTTCCAGGCAGAAAGAACAGTCAAAATGCAGGCAGGGCACAGGACAAAGCAGTAGGGACAAAATATATGTGAAATGCATTGAAACAGCAATGACAGCAAAAATGACATTTTTAAAAAATTTCAAATTTCCCGCCGGTTCCGGCGCCCGTACGTCCCGACGTCACAGGGACCAAAACAGGGAAGCCGGATGCCGGCATCGGCCGGAGGAGATGGCTGGGGACGCTGCAGGGGACACATCGTGGGAGCGCAGGACAAGGTAAGTGCTGCAGGGACTCCCTGAGCAACACCGCATGGTAAGCCCGAGTGTAGGTCAGGGTTACCGTTCTTGGTACTCAAATTTTACCCCGAGCTACACTCGGGAAAACCGCTAAGGGGGTTAAGCACGTATTTGCAAATGTGTGCTAACTAAACCCCGGTTTTTAATGCATACTATTAGACAGGTTAATTTGGTTTGTTTGCAAGCTGGTTGGCAAGTTAAATTTTGGTGCAAGAGTACAGTGGAGGTGAACGAATGTGTGAATGTCTGAAGAGTTTGAGCGATATATACAGACCATCGTACCTCAGCACTTTGAGTAAGATCATCCACCTCCAGGCTGCACCTTTATCCATGCTTGAGGGACCCCTGCATACCAGGAGTACAATATATAACGCGCTTTCAATTAGCGCATCTGGTTAGTGCGCACTCTGTATATTTATTACCTCATCCCAAGGAGAAATAACATTCTGGGACTCCATACAAGTTATTTGAAGATTGTACTTGATTTTAAGATATTATAATACTTCTACGCATGTCATGCTCATGCGTTTTTCATGAACATTCACACACTAATTCATTCGTTCACCTCCAGTGTACTCTTGTTACTATTCATGTTTACTATATATATGCATAACGCATTTATTTCATACATGCGTCTAGAAGACATACATTAGGCTTTTTGTTCAACTTCTAGCGCTGCACCAAAATTTACTCTGTTATCTGAAGGCATTGTGGTTCACCTTTTAGTGTGTTCAGCTGCTTATTCCATCAATTAAGTTTAGAGCTCGCTTTATCACTTCATTATTCTTGGTTGGCAAGTTAAGCCAGGAATTTTTCTATTTTGTTGTTTGACATGTGTCCCCCTTTCATGTGCTCCTTGCTGTGAAGGCCAGTTACAGACTGGGGCAGTGGCCATTTTTTGTCCTGTGCGAGTTGGTAGCTGAGGGTTCCAGACATGCAAGCGATAGAGTGGCATGCGGGGATAAGTGTTCGCATAAGATTGCTATTGACATGCATGTTTGCGTTGAAGTCAATGGGAGGCGTGTTTGCGTTGAAGTCAATGGGAGGCAGCATGTGAACCCAGGTGCCTGGAAGCAATTTCTAGTCGCATGGCAACCTGGTGCCTGGGATTTTTCGAGCCCTGCATTATTCATTTTTTCCATTCAACCAACATGGTTTATATATTAAAAACACAAGCAAATCCTGTTCTACTAGTGAGTAATAAAGACTGCAGCAATCTTGGGACCATTTACACTTTTGTAAAATAGGTAATTGCTGTGGATTGGGTACCATGGGAGAGTGCAGCATCACAGAAAGGATTGGGAGGGTTTTATTCTAATGCAAAGCTGCATCAATCACAGCTTCTGACATAAGCAATGGCAATTGTTAGCGAGGGTGGCTATGTTCTAAACTTCTGGATTGGATTCTTACATGGCAGGTTTCCTAGAAGCGCTACCCTGCCAATTAAATACTGCTTCCTATTATGTTCTACCTCTTTGTACAAGAGAACAAAAATTGTTCCAACTCACAGGGATGCTCTAAAGTGCTAAGTGACCCCTAACAGAGCCAATAAACACCCTCTGGAGCACAGGTTAATTTGCTAGATCTGCTGTCCTGGTACAAGGCAAAAATCTAGAGGTATACAAGACCGGATCAGGCCACAAATACAGCGCATCCAAATGAAAAAGAAAACTCTTGATTACTGGATGAACCAAAGACGGTGACTCTCTGTCCAATATTTAAAAGTAGGGATATCCTGTTTTGGTTGGACATCATCTTTAAAGTACAGCAAAGGGGAAAAAAATTAGCGTATAGATTAGAAAACCTATTGGGTTTTTATCGTTGTCTGCGCTCCCATTAGGGAGATTCATCCTCTCTATTTGTCCGGTTTACTATTATTATTTAAAGTGAAGGGGAATCTTTGACTGTGGACACTAGTTCTGGTGCTCTAGTGGTCTCAAGGGTTTCCCTTAATCAGGGGGTATTTCCTCTCACTTCCTGTTTAGGCTATGGGACAGGAAGTCAAGGGAAATCTCTAATGGGACACAGAAGGCAAAAAAACTGACAAGGGTTATAACCCACCCTTACACAACAAACACTTTACTCCTGCGCTAGGAAAGGACTCAGTAGACCCAATAGGAATGTTCTGGAACTTTCTGGAAAATGCACTGCTTGCTGCCCTCAACAGACCGGGGTGGTCCGAATACACTGGATACAAATGGAGAAACAGAAAAAGGGCGCACCGACCTAGTGCATTATTGTTTAAAATAATTTATTAAAGAAACAAAAATAGGTATCATACTCACAATGGACATGATAACACAGGCATGTTAAACTGAACAAGATGTACGATCCAAACAACATCTGAGTCCATACGATGGAACCCTGGATGACCAACTGGCTAACGCGTTTCGAGGACACAACCTCTTCCTCAGCGCCAACCCTCTCTCTGAGGAAGAGGTTGTGTCCTCGAAACGCGTTAGCCAGTTGGTTATCCAGGGTTCCATCGTATGGACTCAGATGTTGTTTGGATCATACACCTTGTTCAGTTTGACATGCCTGTGTTATTATGTCCATTGTGAGTATGGTACCTATTTTTGTTTCTTTAATAAATTATTTTAAACGATAATGCACTAGGTCGGTGCGCCCTTTTTCTGTTTCTCCATTTATACCCCACCCTTACTCTATCCAAAAAGAAAAAAAAAAGTTTTGCCTTTCGTTCTACATTAAATTTTTAGGTGGACCCTTGAAGGCAATAAAAGGTAGAACATACTGTCTCATGTTACCCATTTCAATTAAAGAGAGCTCTGTGGAGTGTTGATATGCTTGAATAAATGGTTAATATGGAAAAAAAAAATAGTAAATTGTAGAATCAAAGTCAGATGCCGATGATCAGAGTGTGCTAAGTGGGGGATCTTTTGATGCCATAACTTGGAAATAAATGAAACATTTGGATACTTTGAGTTTAATGTAGAAAGCCTCCCTTCATTTGAAAGTGGTTGTAAACTTCAGACATGAATTATGAACAAAGCATTTCCCTCTATAGTGTGTACTTCTCTCAATCCAGAGCACCAAGTGTCATTTCTGTCTGCTGCTTCATTCCTCATGCTATCTGCATGAGTCACTTCTGACAGGTTTTCCTGACACCAACAGAAAAAAGGTGACGGGGGAGAGCTCCAGCACTCAGCCTGTAACTGATGGGGGGGGGGTCCTTTCCCTACAAACACACTTCTAGACACACAGAGAGGGGCTCGGGAGCGAGCATGCATGAGTACCCCCATTGCAAGTGGCTTGATATGGTGGCACTCAGCAGGGTAGAGGGGCCAGGAGTGCTGACAAGGAATCCAAGAAGAGGGGGATTGGGGCTGCTCTGTGCAAAACAATTACACAGAGTAAGTAAGTATGACATGTTTGTTATTTAAAAAAAATAATAATGCAGAAATACTCAGACATCATCTGCTCATAGGCAAAACGGACATTGGCAAGTGTTTTGTAAACTGCCGAAATCTTGACTCGTGCAATACGCTAATACCTGTTGGTGAATCTCACTCCGTTCTTCTGAATGTCAATGGTGGAGAACTTCTTATTGTTTCTCAGAGCCTTTTCTTCCTTGCAGGTCACACGAAAATAGTGACCAAGCTGCGCATTGGATTCAAGTTTAATACTTTTTCCAGCATCCAATCCTAATTAATAACAGAAAATAAAAAGACAAGTTCAATCAAGGTAGAAGCTTTAGCAAAATTAATTCATTTAAAGTGATTTACTGTCATTCTGCCCATTTCTTGTGTGTGAGCCCGACATGTCATTTACACAAGCCCTAGGGCAGGGGTGTCCAAACTATGGCCCTCCAGGTGTTGAGGAACTTCAAGTCCCATGAGGTCTTGCAAGACTGACATCCACAGGCAAGACTCCCAGAGGCATGATGGGACTTGTAGTACTTCAACAACTGGAGGGCTATAGTTTGGACACCCCTGCCCTAGGGGGACACGTCGTTTGCACAACCCCTAGGGGGACACGTCGTTTACACAGCCCCTAGGGGGACACGTCGTTTACACAGCCCCTAGGGGGACACGTCGTTTACACAGCCCCTAGGGGGACACGTCGTTTGCACAACCCCTAGGGGGACACGTCATTTACACAGCCCCTAGGGGGACACGTCGTTTACACAGCCCCTAGGGGGACACGTCGTTTACACAGCCCCTAGGGGGACACGTAGTTTACACAGCCCCTAGGGGGACACGTCGTTTACACAGCCCCTAGGGGGACACGTCGTTTACACAACCCCTAGGGGGACACGTCGTTTACACAGCCCCTAGGGGGACACGTCGTTTACACAGCCCCTAGGGGGACACGTCGTTTACACAACCCCTAGGGGGACACGTCGTTTACACAACCCCTAGGGGGACACGCCATTGCACAAAGTGGGCTTGCAGTATTCCAAGACAAAGCAACACTCCGTTCTGGCCCTTTTTGAGAACTGAAACAGGATGCGGGCATTCCGAGTGTGTGTGTGAGCCCGACATGTCATTTACACAAGCCCTAGGGGGACACATCGGTTACACAAGCCCTAGGGGGACACGTCGTATACACAACCCCTAGGGGGACACGTCGTTTACACAACCCCTAGGGGACACGTCGTTTACACAACCCCTAGGGGACACGTCGTTTACACAGCCCCTAGGGGGACACGTCGTTTACACAACCCCTAGGGGACACGTCATTTACACAGCCCCTAGGGGACACGCCATCGCACAAAGTGGGCTCACAGTATTCCAAGACAAAGCAACATTTCATTCCGGCCTTTTTTGAGAACTGAAACAGGAGGCGGGCATTCCGATCGTGTGACCGATGTTATTGGCTGTCACAGCGGCCACATGATTGAAAGCTCTCATTTGCAAGTATGCATTGGGAGCTTTCCATGACAATTTAGTTTCCTATGCTGGGAGCGTGCAGGGAGCATGCTCTCAGAGCAGTAAACGTTTTACCTATAGATGAATATATGTGGCCGCTCGGCATTAAAGAGCCCACCCACCGCATACATGCGTGCAGATGAAGGGGCCGGGCAGAGGGCGTGATGAATGGCGGAAGTGGTTGAATAATATACAAGGATGTGTAAATCATATCGCCCTACGTCCGGGACATCCAGTTCTGCTGCCGGGCAGGTTTTTTTTTTTTTTTTTTTTTTTTTTTAAACATTTAGCCCTGCTGAGGGCAAGCAGCAGGGTTTACTTTGTGCAGTAAGATTTTCATGTCAATTTTCAGTGCAATTCTCAAAGGTAGTTGTTCAGCAGTTGAGATACCATTCAAATCCGTCTTCCAGCCACCGGTATGCAAAACCAGATATAAATTGCATCCTATGTGAACAGATATCTCAGAATGCCAATATACTCTATGCTGTGTGGGTTTGGAATGCATCAAACTTGCAGACGAACCTTTTTTTTTTTTTTTTTTTTTTTTTTTTAACCGGATCAAAATCGCAGCACATAGCTGTAAACATTCTTCATAGACATCAATGTATTTGCAGATGCCATACAAATCTATGCCTTATGAATCTAAGACTCCATTCACACCTGGATGTTTTGGGATCACAGCAGAATCGATGTGATTCTATCTGTGATCTCAAAACGCTCTACAACTGCAAAATGCAAATTCAGGTGGCATTATATTCAATGGGACCCTAAAACGCAGTGCGGTTTTGCCGTGATTGTCACACAATTTATTGCGCAGCAAATATGCACCTAGCTGTAGATGCCATTGAAAATAATGGCACTTGAACATGTGTTCTGCGATTGTAGTGTGTTTTGAGATCGCAGGCAGGATTGCAGTGATTCTGCCACGATCCTCCAATGCCCAGGTGTGAATGGAGCCACACAGAGCGGACGCCGGAACTTGATTTGGCTGCTCAGCATGCATTTGTACTGAGCACCCATATGCTTCCATGGGTGAGGGTAACTTTAAAGAATAAAGCTTTTTTTTTCCTCACTGGGACCGGCATCTAATTTATTCGCTCAGCAGATGCGCTTCTGCTGAGCGTTAAAAGAGCCCAACGCTCCCATTTGCTGTTGAGCACCCAATCGGTGCTCATCACACTGCAAGGTCTCTCCCCTCCCTGCTAGCCCCCCGAGTGTGGTGCTGGAGACAGGTAGAGAGGTGGGAAGGACAAGTAGATTGTCATGAGGGACAAGAAGATAGGAACACTGATTTAGTCCCTTGGACAAGTAGTTTTAAAAAAAATTTCCACACCCCTGAATATCGTAAATACAATTTCACTGAGATATAGGGAAAAAAAGTCTAATAGATCTGAATGTCTTGGTTTGCCTAGCAAAAGTTGTGATTAGATAAACATAGTTACTGATACTAGTACTATTTACATGCAGTTTGCATGTTCTCCCTGTGCCTGCGTGGGTTTCCTCCCACACTCCAAAGACATGCTGGTAGGTTAATTGGCTCCTGTCTAAATTGGTCCTAGTATGTGTATGTATGAACGTGAGTTAGGGATCTTAGACAGGGGACTGATGTGAATGTACAATATATGCTTTATGTAAAGCGCTGTGTAAATTGATGGCGCTATATAAGTACCTATAATAAATAAAAATTGTGATCATTTTGACCCCACGGGGTGAGATCTTGCGTGGAGCCCCAGATCAAGGGAGATTATCAGTGGTCTTGTATGTCTTCCATTTTCTAATTATTGCTCCCACAGTTGATTTGTTCACACCAAGCTGCTTGCCTATTGCAAATTCAATCTTCCCAGCCTGGTGCAGGTCTACAATTTTGTTTCTGGTGTCCTTCGACAGCTCTTTAGTCTTCACCATAGTGGAGTTTGGAGTGTGATTGTTTGAGGTTGTGGACAGGTGTCTTTTATACTGATAACAAGTTCAAACAGGTGCCATTGATACAGGTAATGAGTGCAGGACAGAGGAGCCTCTTAAAGAAGAAGGTACAGGTCTGTGAGAGCCAGAAAATCTTGCTTGTTTTTAGGTGACCAAATACTCATTTTCCACCATAATTTGCAAATAAATTCTTTCCAGATCAGCCAATGTGATTGTCTGGATTTTTTTTCTCATTTTGTCTCTCATAGTTGAGGTCTACCTATGATGCCAATTACAGGCCTCTCTCATCTTTTTAAGTGGGAGAACTTGCACAATTGGTGGCTGACTAAATACTTTTTTGCCCCACTGTATATGCTGACCTGCATTACACTTATTCCTGTCACCAATAATTACAGCGATACGAGATGAACAAATGAACTATATTTTGACCTTCTCTCTTTCGTCGCCTTACATCTAAGGTCTAAGCAATATTGCCACAATATAAACAAAGCTTCATCTGACAGCACTAATGCTACATACAGCACGTCTCATGGGAACGGCAGATGACAGTACAAGCTAAAGTTACAGCAAGATGTATTGAAAGGGCCTATGTGCTCTGACAGCCCAATGTTACTTAAGGATAATGATACAGAAAAAACCAATTACTTTAGTCATCAGAAAAATTAACTCCTGAAAAGCCATGCAGTGTAGATCTACTGCACATATCGTAATTTGTTGTATGTGCCAGTTATCCTGTCTTTACTTCTCTCTGTAGTACCCTGTGAATAATATGTGCAGCAGAACACGAACATGTGCCCAAGTGCTTGGACAAGGTCATCCAATCAGGATACTAAACTTTAGAGTGGAGAGACTTGAGAAAGGGGGACATGCCCCTGAAACAAACATCATCATGGCAATCCGGGAAGCATGATTGGAGCTGTCATTGCTCTGGGAGCTCTGCTGCCAATCTCAGATCAAACTTCCTGGATTGCCATGATGCATGTTTCATGGGCATGTCCCCCTTTAATCAGTCTGTGCCGAGGCAAACTCATCACTCCCATTGACTTACAACCCCCATGACTTTTGTGGGTCAGAAAAAAAAATCCCTACAACAAAACACAATGTAATGTAAATGTGATTGATATAACAACAGTTGGCTGGTATGATTACATCTATGTAAGATCATCCACAGGTATACAGTGGGGATCGAAAGTCTGGGCACCCCAGCTAAAAATTTTTTATTAATGTGCATAAAGAAGCCAAGGAAAGATGGAAAAATCTCCAAAAGGCATCAAATGACAGATTAGACATTCTTAATAATATGTCAACAAAAGTTAGATTTTATTTCCATCATTTACACTTTCAAAATAACAGAAAACAAAAAAATGGCATCTGCAAAAGTTTGGGCACCCTGCAGCATTTATAGCATGCACTGCCCCCTTTGCAAAGCTGAGACCTGCCAGTGTCATGGATTGTTCTCAATCATCGTCTGGGAAGACCAGGTGATGTCAATCTCAAAGGTTTTAAATGCCCAGACTCATCTGACCTTGCCCCAACAATCAGCACCATGGGTTCTTCTAAGCAGTTGTCTAGAAAACTGAAACTGAAAATAGTTGACGCTCACAAAGCTGGAGAAGGCTATTAGAAGATAGCAAAGCGTTTTCAGATGTCAATATCCTCTGTTCGGAATGTAATTAAGAAATGGCAGTCATCAGGAACAGTGGAAGTTAAAGCAAGATCTGGAAGACCAAGAAAAATATCAGACAGAACAGCTCGCAGGATTGTGAGAAAAACAATTCAAAACCCACGTTTGACTGCACGATCCCTCCAGAAAGATCTGGCAGACACTGGAGTTGTGGTTCACTATTCCACTATAAAGAGATACTTGTACAAATATGGTCTTCATGGAAGAGTCATCAGAAGAAAACCTCTTCTACGTCCTCACCACAAAAATCATCGTTTGAACTTTGCAAATGAACATATAGACAAGCCTGATGCATTTTGGAAACAAGTTCTGTGGACCGATGAGGTTAAAATTGAACTTTTTGGCCGGAATGAGCAAAGGTACGTTTGGAGAAGAAGGGGCACAGAATTGAATGAAAAGAACCTCTGTCCAACTGTTAAGCATGGGGGGTTGGATCAATCATGCTTTGGGGTTGTGTTGCAGCCAGTGGCATGGGGAACATCTCACGAGTAGAAGGAAAAATGGATTCAATAAAATTTCAGCAAATTTTGGATGGTAACTTGATGCCATCTGTGAAAAAGCTGAAGTTAAAGAGAGGATGGCTTCTACAAATGGATAATGATCCTAAACACACCTCGAAATCCACGGGGGATTACATCAAGAGGCGTAAACTGAAGGTTTTGCCATGGCCTTCACAATCTCCTGACCTCAACAATTGAAAATCTATGGATAGACCTTAAAAGAGCAGTGCGTGACAGACAGCCCAGAAATCTCAAAGAACTGGAAGACTTTGTAAGGAAGAATGGGCAAAGATACCTCAAACAAGAATTGAAAGACTCTTGGCTGGATACAAAAAGCGTTTACAAGCTGTGATACTTGCCAAAGGGGACAGTACAAGATATTAACTCTGCAGGGTGCCCAAACTTTTGCAGACGCCATTTTTTTGTTTTCTGTTATTTTGAAAGTGTAAATGATGGAAATAAAATCTAACTTTTCTTGACATATTATAAGAATGTCTAATCTGTAATTTGATGCCTTTTGGAGATTTTTCCATCTTTCCTTGGCTTCTTTATGCACATTAATACAAATTTTTAGCTGGGGGCCCAAACTTTCGATCCCCACTGTATGTAACTATGCAAAAAACTATCCACACCTGGAATTCAGCTTTGGAGACCAGGCCTCGCTGTAGTGCACAGGTCCATCCTGCTGTTCTGGTGACGTTGGAACACCCAGTACTATCAATGTGGTACAGAGGTGTGCATTTATACTGCAGGGACCACACACAAGTTGCTCACATCACGTCTGTGTTTCTGCATACCACTGTGAACAATTGTCATTTATTGTGCCCTGTTCACACCATACATGTGCAGCTGTGTGCAGAAAAACACAGTTTTCTGCTTCATTTAGACGTGCAGTTAGGGGGCAGCAAAAATGCAATATGCAACGGATGGAGGTGTTTACATGCCGCTGTCATGATGCTTTGCTCCCGTGGCAAAGTTTACCCGACATGTAGCAAGCCCACCGAATTTTACACATTGAAGCAAATTGGGTAGTGCCATAACCGTGTGCAATGTACCCAGTTGTGGTGTTTGTTTGTCGGCAAAAATGGGGTTTAAAAAGGCATCGCTTCACAACCTCACTGCCGGTCAGTAACTTCTGAAATGTGGTCCAAATGCTGATTGGGCTTCAGAAGAATGATCCGAATGCTGATCATGCTTCAGAGGAAAGGGAGATTTAGACGCACTCATGTAATTAAAGTGGTTCTAAAGGCTGAAGTTTTTTTACCTCCATGCATTCTATGCATGAAGGTAAAAAACCTTCAGTGTTCAGCCCCCCCCCTTATACATACCTGAGCCTGATCAAGTGGTGTGCACAAGAGCAACGGCTCTCTGGGGTCTCTGCCTTCTTATTGGCTCACACCGCTATTTATCACAGCCATTGAGGAGGGAGCAGGGGGTGGGGCTGAGTCACGGCTCTAAGTGTCTTATGGACACGCAGAGGCTGTTCGAGAGCGAGCACGCACAAGTGCCCCCATAGCAAATGGCTTGTCATGGGGGGCACTCAGCAGAGGGGAGGAGCACCAGTGGGAAACCCGAGGAGGATCGGGGTTGTTCTGTGTGAAATTATTGCACAGAGCAAATAAATATAACATTTACCATTTTTTTAAATAAAAATTGTACCTTTACAAACACTTTAACAAGAGGGGACCTGTGAGGAATACGAGCGTTGACTTGTTAAAAGGTGCAGATTGCAGGCCTCTCATCCTGATCCTGGCAGCACTACCTAGGGTGTCACTGATCTGGAGCCTAAGTGGATTTATTTGTGTCACAAAAATATAACACAAAACTCCAGTCATGAAGGGTTAAAACATTAATGACACCAGCAATGCTTATTTATAGCAAACAATTGCAAGTCTTTGCTGATAAAGCACAGCGATGGGCACGTGCCTAGTAAACGGAGTATTAATCTTCATTTGCTCTCTGACTTGAAATCCATAATTACATTGAATAGACACACAAACCAGAATAGCTTCAGCACAGCTGGCAATGAAAGACCTCGAAGTGACGTTGCAGTGTAGGGCGGATTATAAATTTAGTAGATAGAATTCACAGACTGACTTCTTCGCAGCAACTGGACGTCCAAGCCAGAAACACATTCAGTGACAAGGTGATGTTCAGTTTTTGGAATTTTTCCAAATTGGCTAAGAACGTTCAAAATGTTTTTGCACATTGGCTCATTCCTAAGAGTGGGGGGGTCACTTCTATTTCAATGAAAGATTTAGATCTATATTAACAGATTGACTGTTCTTTGATTAAAGCATTATTATACCCAAAAGCAAACAGCAGTCGGGACCTTTCTGTGAGGTGTCAGTAAATGTGCCAGGAGGGCGCAGGGCTTGCTTTCTAGGCACGTTTGTTTATATTGGGTACACAAATATGCGGCTTCTTAGCATCAAGGTCCAGCCGCTGAGAGGCTACATGTTTGCATAACGTCAGTGCCAAGGAGTTAACTCCTAGCTATGATGACTGCCTTAGTTTTCACCTGGTGATCCAGCCAGTAAGTTGCCTCTGCAAGTTGCTGCAGAGGCTAGGTGCAGCTGCTGGCCCTAATCACTATAATGTCAGGTCACCAGTGGCTGCAGCTGTTAGTGGCTCTCTGCACAGCCAGTGGTTCCCTGCGTTGATCGCTGCCGGACGCACACATTGCATCCAGTAGCGATCATTGCAAGCAATCGCTGCCTGTGCAGAGCCGTGAACAGCTGCGGCAGCCGTGGCCTGACATTAGTGAATGGGGGCCGGTGGCCGCACCTAACCAATGAAAGTCACATCAGTACTATGCACAGCAGCCCTAATCGCCGGTGCGAATGTAGCCTAATACAGCTTTAGACAGTTTATTTGAATACAACGAGATTGTAATTCACAGACTTGACACTTTAAATCCTTATCTACAGAGCAGAAACAGGTAAGAACGTGCAAGAAAAAGCTTCTTAAAAATCCATGCAGTAAATAGGGCTGAGAGGACTCGCGGGGGGGGGGGGGGGGGGGAACAAGATTTGCATTAGTAAATGGATAACCTGGCATGCTCTGGAGTGTTTAGCAGATGTGATTGTGCAAGAACTATGTACTTCCCATATATTCTATAACAGTCTACTGACAGACTAGGTTTATCTAGTGACCACAAAAGTGTGAAACTCCAGGTTCCTCATACACAGAGATGACGACTTACCCAACTCCTTGGCCGCACTATTAAGAGATCCCTGCATGTTCTTCTCCAGTCCATCCATCTTCTCTCTCAGTTCTGTCAAGTTGGGATCAAAGGACGGCTTTACCAAAAATTCATGGTTTTCCACCTGAGAAAGAGGAATCCATCTGTTTATAAGCCCAGAAAGAATATATACACATGGTGTAGGAGGAAACTGGAATACCTGGAGGAAATTTACGCACACACAGGAAGGAACATGCCAACCCTATGCAGGTAGTGTCCTGGCTGGGTTTCGAACGTAGGACCCTACTCCTATCCACTAAGCCACGGGAGGGGGGGGGGGGGTTCCCAACTACTAAGCTACTGTACCCCCCACCATGACTACTATAATTTTGAATATATTGTATACATCCAATAGGGCAGCACAGTGGCTAAATGGTTAGCACTTCCGCCTGGCAGTACTAGGGTCGCTGGTTCAAATCCCGACCATGGCACCACCTGCCTGGAGTTTGCATGTTCTCCTCCGGGTTCCTCCCACTCTCCAAAGACATGCTGGTAGGTTAATTGGCTCCTGTCTAAATTGCCCTAGTATGTGTATGTATGGATGTGAGTTAGGGTCCTTAGATTGTATGCCCCTTGAGGGTTAGGGACTGATGTGAATGTACAATATATATGTAAAGCACTGCGTAAATTGATGGCGCTATATAAGTACCTGAAATAAATAAAAATAAAATACAACCCTAATCTGCAAAGCAATAAACAGCAACTACATCAAGTAAGATGCAGAAACTGTTCAGGTATTCTGACAGCTGCTGACGGCAGCTGTCAGATACTACATATCCCTGTGGGGGGGGGGGGAGGGTGAGAGGGACTTGTCAATTCATGAAATAGACCTGAAGCAAGTGAAAATTCTGGTACAGATGTCTCAACACTGAAGTAACAAAAGGTGTAAGGGCAGCACAGTGGCTAAGTGATTAGCACTTCCATCTAGCAGCACTAGGGATCGGTCGAATCCCAACCATGGCACTACCTGCCTGGAGTTTGCATCCTCCGGGTACTGTGGTTTCCTCCCACACACCAAAAACAGTTTGGTAGGTTGATTGTCCTTAGTTTGTATGTATGAATGTTGGTTAGTGACCTTAGATTGTAGGCTCCTTGAGGACAGAGACCAATGTGAATGTACAATATATATGTAAATATGTAAACTGACAGTGTTATACAAGTCCCTGTATTAAATAAATAATTTATAGAAAAAATAATAACGGTCCTGCAAAGCAAATTAAATCAGATGTAAACCTTTACTAAATGAGGTTTGGTCAGCTAAAGCGCAGAGTATTTTATTTTCGTTGTTTGAAGCATCTATTACTGCGGATCTTCTTCTGCAGTTGCTTCCTATGTACATGCACTTCAGTGATGGCTGCATGACATTTCTCAGGGTGGGTTTCCTGATGGTGGTAACAGTGGACCATGATCGCGTAGTGGTCTCCATTTGAAGCCATTATCATAGGGTGACAATACAGGGGCCTAGTAGGGAGATGGCAACATCGCCCCATAACAAAGTGCCTAAAAAAAGAACCCTCATAGCAGGATCACCAGATATCATTTCAATGAAAGCTGCAGATCTGACAATGGATTTGAACATCTGTCAGGTTTTTATTCCTAGCACTGTCATTAGGGAGATTTGGCCTCTCTCTTTGTTCTGTTTACCATCATCATCAAAAGTAAAAGAAAATACCAAAAAATTTAGGTCCCCCGAAGAGCGAGAGAGGGGAACTTCCAATGGGGACACTAGTTCTGGTGACTTGGGGGGGCCCCAATGGATTCCTCTAATTTACAGGGATTCACCCTCACTTCCTGTTTTGGCTATGGGACAGGAAGTGAAGGTAAATCTCACCAAGGGGACACAGATTGCAAAAAAAAAAAAACTGACAGGGGTTATAGCCCTCCCGTACTGTCTCCAAAAGGGAAAAAAAAAAAGTTGTGTCTATAGTTCTACTTTAAAGTTCTAAAGGCTAAAGGTTTTTTTTTTTTTTACCTTCATACATTCTATGCATGAAGGTATAAAAACCTTTTGTGTGCTGCTCCCCACACAGAACCCCCAATACACATCTGAGCCCACTCTCTAAACAGGAATGTGCACAGGAGCTTCGGCTGTCCCTGGTCTCTCTCTCCTGACTAGCTGAGAGACAGCCAATGGCTCCCACTGCTGTCAATCACAGGCAGTGAGCCAATGAGGAGAAAATCGGGGAGCGGAGCGGGCCGAGACGCAGCTCTATGTGTCTTATGGATGCATAGAGCAGGGCTTGGGAGCGAGCACACACCCAGAGGCGAACTGAAAACTCATGGGGCCCCCGGGCAATAGGGGATCATGGGGCCCCTGTGCCCTTGACCACACCCAAAAAAAGCCTATGAAAAAGGTACCAGGGGCATCTCATGGGGCCCCTTACTGACCCCGGGCCCCCGAGTGCGCAAATGGTCAGTCCGCCCCTGCACGCACCATGGTCCCCATAGCAAGTGGCTTGCTTTGGAGGGCACTAGTCATGGGGGAGTAGCCAGGAGTGCTGCCGAAGGACCTGAGAAGAGAAGCCATTACACGCAGCAGGTAAATATGGCATGTTATATTAAAAAAAAAAGACAAAAAGCTTTAATATCGCTTTAAAGACTATGTGATATTTTAGAGGCTGGGTTTACATAGACTAACTTTGCAGCAACTTATGAAAATGCTTTTTTTTTTTTTTTTTGTTTCTACACCTCCTAATGGATATACTGGATATCTTGTTACTTCTTGCGGTTTGTTGCAGTATCCTTCCCTATATAAAGAATGAAAGAAGAAGAAAAAAAAAGGTATAAGCCAGGAGCTGAGCAGTGGAATGGCTGCTGATTTACTACAAAGCCCAGTGGCACTGTTGGGAAGCAACTACTGCACTATTGTGCTGTCACTTGATAAATGATTGATAAGAAAATGGTCCTGTACACTATACTCTACATGACCCGGGGCTGCAGCTCGCTTGGATAGTTAAAATGTAGCCGCAGTTTTGTGGACAGAGCAAAATTGCATGAAAAATTCATCGACCTATGGGAAGGTGCGTCCAACAAATAAGGAGCAATAAAAATTCTCGTACAGAATAACGGCCAAATAACACACAATTCTACACTGAGCGGTTCAAAAAAAAGGAAAACATTAAACCAGACTTCTAAAAATACACAAATGGCCCTAAAATATATATTACAAAAAAAAATAAAATAAATAAAAACTTACTAGAAGCATCAAAGATGCATCATCATCAGTGAGCAACCCTTTGATTAAGGGCGGTAAAACCAAGCGGTTGAGCCACATTTTTTTTTTTCAATTGCTCTCCCTTTAGCCGTAAAGTGGCAGCCAGGGGTGCACACATGCTGCAGCTGAAATTCTTTGCAGGAGGAATTATAACCACGTCGCATTCCACCCCGCAACTGAATGGGATCTTGCAGGAACCGCATGCAATGCACATTGTTGTGGCATTTAGGGGGTTGAAACAGGCATTAGGGAGACAACAGATCACCACCTGTCAAACGCCTCTGAAAAACATTCCGTGTGGATTGCTTTTTACAGAAGCAGCAGTCCCTACTGTTAGCGTAAACAAGACCTTGAAAAGGCTTGTCACACACACACACACACAAATGAGAATTTTACTTCAGAGGATACAGTTTATAGCAAGACACTGTGTTCTTTTCTGACATCACCTTCACCCAACACAATGAAGCAAAAGAGGGAGGTTGCTGAACACAAAAACGAAAAAAAAAAAACAGACTGCAGTCTAACCTAGAAGCCACATTGCTAAAACTGGCAACAGTGGATTTCATAAAACTGACTTGGAACAGGCATGCCTCTAAACACAAAACTGATTTATATACAGTACCTTGAAAAAGTATTCATACCTCTTGAAATTTTCTACATTTAAGTTTCAACCAAAAACGTACAATGTATTCTATTGGGATTTTATGTGATAGACCAACACAAAGTGGCACATAATTCTGAAGTAGAAGGAAAATGATAAATAGTTTTCAAAATTTTTTACAAATTATTATCTGAGGTGCGGCGTGCATTTGTATTCAGTCCCCTTTACTCTGATACCCCTAACTAAAATCTAGTGGAACTGGTTGCACTCAGAAGTCACCAAATTAGTAATTTAATCTCAGTATAAATACAGCTGTTCTCTGAAGCCCTCAGAGGTTTGTTAGAGAACATTAGTGAACAAACAGCATAGTGAAGGCCAAGGAACACACCAGGCAGGTCAGGGGTAAAGTTGTGGAGAAGTTTAAAGCAGGGTTACGTTTTACAAACTATCCCAAGCTTTGAACATCTCACAGAGCACTGTTCAAACCATCATCTGAAAATGGAAAGAGTATGGCACAACTGGAAACCTACCAAGTCATGGCCATCCACCTAAACTGACAGGCCGGGCAAGGAGAGCATTAAGCATAGAAGCAGCCAAGAGGCCCATGGTAACTCCGGAGGAACTGCAGAGATCCACAGCTCAGGTGGGAGAATCTGTGCCACAGGACAACTATTAGTTGTGCACTCCACAAATCTGGCCTTTATAGAAGAGTGGAAAAAAAAAAGCCATTGTTGAAAGAAGTCCCATTTGCAGTTTGCAAGAAGCCATGTTGGGGACACAGCAAACATGTGGAAGAAGGTGCTCTGGTCAGATGAGACCAAAATTGAACTTTTTGGCCTAAAAGCAAAATGCTATGTGTGGGGGGAAAACTAACACTGCACATCACTCTGAACACACCATCCCCACCGTGAAACATGGTGGTGGCAGCATCATGTTGTGGGGATGCCTTTCTTCAGCTGGGACAGGGAAGCTAGTCAGAGTTGATGAGAAGATGGATGGAGCCAAATACAGGGCAATCTTAGAAGAAAACCTGTTAAGAGTCTGCAAAAGAGTTGAGACTGAGGCGGAGGTTCACCTTCCTGCAGGACAACGATTCTAAACATCCATCCAGAGCTACAATGGAATGGTTTAGATCAAAGCATATTCATGTGTTAAAATGGCCCCTTCACAGTCCAGACCTAAATTCAATTGAGAAGCTGTGGCAAGACTTGAAAATTGCTGTTCAGACGCTCTCCATCCAATCTGACAGAGCTTGAGCCATTTTGCAAAG